CCCCCTTTCCGCGCGCGAGCCCCGCGAGATCCCCGTACCTCTGCGCTTCTCTCCTGCAGCTTCTGCGGGTCTCAGTGTGCGATTCCTTCCTTCTAGTTGTAGAGTTTACAGTCAGCCAGGCTTCCTATGGTTCTGGATGAAGTCCGTATTGTTTCTCTGAGGTATTAATCAATTGTTGTGAGCGGCCTTAATTTCCCGGTGTTTATCTCTGCCGCCATCTTAGTTTCTCCATGATTATATATTTAGATAATATATGTAAGTATACTTAATCATAAGTATAATTATGTGATATATAAATCTCTCTCTCTCTCTCTCTCTCTATATATATATATATATATATATATTCCTCTTGCCATGACTATGTATCTATGTAGATGTATATTTACATATATATATCCATATATACACTCTATAATCTTTATTTGCTCTTGATGTTGTAATGATTCATAGTTCTATCTTAACATTCTTAGTGGCAAAACATTTTTTTTCCATTCTGATTTGTCCCCTGTTGGTTTCATCCATTCTGTATATGAACATTTAGCTCAATTTTGGGCAAAAGGAAGCATGCCTGACACTCTGGCTATACTCTTTTAGCTGCAGTCACTAAAGACAGATGACGCTCCTGGCTACATCTGAGCCCTCTGAGAACACCTGTCACTCAAGCCTTTTCTTCTTACATGCTATATTCTCTACTTTACCAATAAGATTTTGACTAAAAGAGAGAAGGGAATCTATTGAAGTTTATATATATATATAGACACGCATACATATAAATATATACACAGATACACACACATATACACACATACAAACTGTCATTACTTATTTAAACTTAGGTATGAAAATTCATTCTCTTTTAACTCCTATAATGTCTATGTACACTGTGTATAACATACAGATTCACATATGTTATATGAGCATACATACTTACTAGTGTATATACATTCCCGTATCTGCTGCTGGGTTATCTGTTCTGTGCATTACCCAAGCTTCATTAAGTCTGCTACACAGATAGGAGCCAGGCCTTTAATAGCAGGGATGAGCAGCACAAGGCTATGCTGGGCTGGGCTGGGCTGGGCTGGCTTGGGCACCAAAGAAATGTAAATTAGATCTAAGAATTTCTGATGTTGTGCAGCTACCTTCCAAAGCCCACCATCTATCATTGTCTAATTATCACCATGAGATTTTGAGTACTATGAGGATATGTTATAGAGTGTGAAATTGTAAATTTGGGTATATGGTTCTGGTTTTTGGCAGGACTGTACAATTTTTATTTGCCAATCTAAGTTTTTCTCATTCTTTTTTTCTTCTTCTTCTTCTTTTTTTTTTAGTTCCTGGAGAATATAAATACCAAGAAGGAATGTGATTGCGATTGTAAAAAGACTCCTAGAAAATAACAGAGAAGAGTTTAGGAAGATGATTAGACAGATTTTATTTACTATATAGTATTTGGCTATTTTCTCTCTCACTGAATAGATGCAAAATTTATGATGAGTGTCCCACCATGGATGTACAACTTTGACTCAAAGGTATCCATACATTTTATACCTAATGCTTATGAACATTTCACAGTGGCCTTCTGCTTTCGTTAATCCATATTTTATATATTTTTGCCAAATGTGAGATCAATAGTCATATATAGTCTTCTTACATATTTGTAGCATTGTAAATTTAACATAGTTATATCAATTATTTGTAAAACATAAATAAAATTATATATAAAAGTAAAATTGTTCTATTGCTTTTTCCTAGAGCATGGTATTATTTTCCTTGGTTTTGAGTGAATATTTGCTTTATTCTTTCTTTACAATACTTTTCTTTCATTCTGAATTAAGCTTACTGAGGTTTTCCTCCTTTTTAAAGCATGGTCTTTATAATAAATGTGTACCTATAACATAAGGCCATAAATCATAAAGTTTAATGGAAACTCAAGATGACATATATTTTAAAACAATTCTTTAGAAGTATTTTTTATTAAAAATGTTAATGCTCTGGCCAAGCCAGTGTGGCTCAGTGGTTGAGCATCGGCCTATGTACCAGGAAGTAAGGGTTCAATTCCTGGTCAGGGAACATGCCAGTGTTGCAGACTTGATCCCCAGTGGCAGGCATGCAGGAGGCAGCTGATCCATGATTCTCTGTCATTATTGATGTTTCTATCTCTCTGCCTCTCCTTTTCTCTCTGAAATCAATAAAAATATATTTTAAAAAAATGTTAATGCTCTGGGGCAGATAGATGAAAGAAGGTGAAGAGAATAGCCAAAGAACTTATATGAATAGCCCCACAAACACAGACAACAATGTCATGTGGGCCAGACGAGGACGGGTGGGGGGAAAATAGGGGACATTTGTAATAATGTTAACAATAAAAACAAAATATAATAAAAATGTTAATGCTCATGTTAAGAATATTAGAAAATATAGACTAACAAAAAGAATGTAGAAAATACTTAATTCCTATGGAGTCAACAATAACCACTCTTCAGTTATCCTATATAATAAAGGCCCAGCAACCGAAAGGCAGAATGACCAGAACGACCACAGAATAGCCAAAGAACTTATATGAATAGCCCCACAAACACAGACAACAATGTCATGTGGGCCAGACGAGGACGGGTGGGGGGAAAATAGGGGACATTTGTAATAATGTTAACAATAAAAACGTAAAAGTGAGAAACTGAGTCTTAGGAAGCTAATAGATCAACCTTGTGGACTTTCCTTAACTTGTATCAATTTTTTTTATCAACTCGTCTGCCTTCTTTTGTATGTCTCTGTCAACGTCATTCTCAAAGCAAGCAAACAAGAAGTAATCCTATATAATAAAATGCTAATATGCAAATCGACCGAAAGGTGGAACGACCGGTTGCTATGATGCGCACTGACCACCAGGGGGCAGGCGCTCAACACAGGAGCTGCTCCCTGGTGGTCAGTTCGCTCCCACAGAGGGAGCAGCGGCTCAGAGGGCGGGTCCATAGCAGCTCAGCCGACTAGGATGAGCGGTGCTCCCACAGCAGGCCGATCCCCACCAGTGCACAAATCCTGTGCACCAGGCCTCTCTAGTTGGAATATATCCTTCTAGGACAGTGGTTCTCAACCTTCTTAATGCCGCGACTCTTTAATACAGTTCCTCATGTTGTGCTGACCCCCAACCATAAAATTATTTTCGTTGCTACTTCATAACTGTAATTTTGCTACTGTTATGAATTGTAATGTAAATATCTGATAAGCAGGATGTATTTTCATTGTTACAAATTGAACATAATTAAAACATAGTGATTAATCACAAAAACAATATGTAATTATATATGTGTTTTCCAATGGTCTTAGGCGACCCCTGTGAAAGGGTCGTTCAACCCTCAAAGGGGTCACGACCCACAGGTTGAGAACCGCTGTTCTAGGACTTTCTCTATGAAACTCACTCTAGATAATTTGATCAAAAAGGAATTTAGTAAAATGATATTGTGTCTCTGAGTTTTATCAGTTACTGCATCTGTCTTCAGATACAAAGTCTCTGGGTGATGACCTCTCATCTCACTGGTCTGTCATGAGCCCATCTCAGTAATCTGTCTGCTGGACTGACAGCTAGTTCTATAAGTCTTCACTCTCTGTGAGGCCAGACATGAGGGTGATGGAGTACATGATAGAAGCAGTGAACCCCATAGTGTAAGCCATTGCTGTAAAATTAGTTTCTTAGCAAGAACCAATGTTGGGTGAAATATGTATGGTGGTGAATAAGCATTCAGAAGTCTGTGAAGATTGGTGTGTGCAGAAGTTTGTTCAACAAGAGAGCAAATCCAGGTCCAGAATAAGTTTCTATTACAGTAAGGCCACCTTTCCCAGTCTCCTTTGATGTTTCAACTCATCACACATGCTCCTCTGTTTAGTAACCACAGAAGCCACAAGGGAGGGCTGCTGCTCCTGCAGGCCCGGAGGAGGAGGCATCAGCTCTACCAGGCAAGCTGGGGCAGGATTTTGGCCTTCAGCACCAGGATTCTGACATTTAAGTGCTGAGCAGAAGATGGTATATTGGCCGTGGTGGTCTGGAGAGAATCCATTTCTTGCCCTGGCCCTGTTGCATTCAAGCCTAATTCATACCAGGAACTCAAATTTAGTTTTAATTGCTGGACAACTAAATATTCGGCAGAAACAGTAGCCAGATCAGCCTTGGTGAGGGGAAATCCAAGTTGCTGAAGCCACATGCAGCCTGCATCTCTGCCTCCATGCCCGCTGGGCTCCGTCAGAATGCCTAGAGGAAGAAGCCAGGCTGAGATAGAGGACAGGCCAGCCCTCGCACCTGCTTAGTGAGTGCTGAGTGCTTCCTCTACAGGGGAGGACTTTTCCTGGTTATTCACAAAGAACCAAATAACCTCATACTCTGGATCCATTCTGAGAGATCCCCTGCATACTTCTTCCCCTTAATATGCTTGACACCAGCTCTACCTTCTCGATTTTCCAAGTCTCTGGTTGTTGAGCTAAACCAATCAGCTACTGACATATACACCTCAGACCGTTTCTCCTTTTCAGACAAAGTGGTCAACAGGGTGAAATACTTACCATTTTGTCTACTGCAAAATTTCCCTTCTCAGTTGTTCTCCAGGGCCACCCTTGAGTTGGGCTACAGCGTCGTGGCAGGCCACTTGTGCTGTTGCCATCATATGTGCCGGTCGTCCGTTTAGTCACCTGGACTTGGAGGACGTCCCCAGGTCAGATGTGCAGGCTGGAGAAGAATGGAAGGGTGGTAGGAGTGAGCACACCATGCCATTTGCTGTGTTCAGATTCTGCTCACGCCCAGTCCCACATAGAAAACTTCCACTTGCTCATGAGAAGCTGTATAATTTGGTAATTAGACTTTGGAGCCAAAGGGCCTGGGTTCAAATCAAGCTCTGTTACTTAGGAGCTATATGATCGTGGAACAAATTGCTTACCCTCTGTGTCAGTTTTCTAAAGTAGGGATGATAGTAATAACAGCACTATCACCAGTAACTGGGGAGGATTAAAGGAAACGTTACAAGTAAAGTGCTTAGAAAAGAGCCTGGCACATTGTGCACGCACACTAAATGGTAGCTGATTCTGTGACTTGGGCGGATCAGGTGACCCCAGGTTATGATGAGCACCATTTGCTTGGTTACCTAATGTCTCATGACAAACTGCTGTATTTACTAGTGCCCAGCCCCACATCCAGATTCGTTTCTCAAAAGGAAAACAGTTCTGTGCCACCGAGCTCTTGGCTCGCCTGCAAACCCCTGGGGGACATGCTCTGATTTGTTTTCTGAGGGTGCCAACGCTGCCTGTGTGCCACAGGGGCGTCAAGCCCACTGGATTCGCGGATCAGAGGGCCTGGCTTTCCGGACTAGCTAAAAGCTTTCTCTTGCTGCAGGCTGCCCTCAAAGCTGGCAACCTCTCAAGTTACCAAAGAAAAGAGCTGAAACAGCACATCTAAATCTGGCCTCCAAAACCCACAGAAGTGCAAGTAGAGCACCATTACCCATTGGTTCCAACATCCAGATAGAAGAGATGCAAACAACCTCAAGGGTAGATAATGGAAAGTTGTGAAGACATTGCGGACGGATCATGAGAATTCTTGCTTCATATTACACTGTTTTACAAAGTATCGTACTTTAAAAAGATATCAGCTTGTAAGAACATGTAATAACTTCAAAATGCAATGGGTATTTAATTTTAAAGCGTGCCTTTAACATTTATATAAAACGTTTTCTGTACTCGTTCAGTAGAGACTTACCTGGCCACTGGGTAAAGCTAGCCATAAAACTACTGGTCCGCAATGCGTCATAATGGGCACTGGTGAATTTTTGAGTTTTTAATTACCTTTGGTCTTAATATAATTTATTTAACTTTAAGGATATTTAATAATGACTGTGTTTACCAACCAACTTAACTAAATTCCTTAAAATTTAAGTTGGCTTTTGTGAGGTGATAGAAGCTGTCTCTAGCACATTACTGCTGCTAGGATTCAGGCAATGAGGGATGTTAGGGGGAAGAATGGAGAGAACTGGTTTCCCCAACCTCCTGCCAAGTTATTTCCACAAATTGCAGTCTTCATTGCAGTCTTCACTCAAGCAAAAAGCCTCATATCACAGGGGAAGAGGGAGAATGTCTCTGACAAGGAAGCCTGCATTAGATTGAATCTGCCGTGAAGCAAATGGCAAAATGGGATTAGGTGTCCAAGGGGCTTACTGGGGGATGGAGCAGGAGAAGGTAAGGAGCCTTTAGGTCATGGTGCATGCGTGATCCCTGCGCCAGGAGAGAGGGTGCAGGATGGAGAATGATGGGGCAGGCCAGCTGGTTAGGGGGGTGACGGGATAACTTTGGATAAGGGGGTTGTGGAAGACCTCTTTGAGGAAAATTTGGACCTACTTTCTTTTTAGTAACAGTTTGCACCTGGTGGGAAGCAGGAGTCTTTTGTTCTTTACTACAATCATGTGAATCGTTCCCACTTGGTTGAAGAGTTGGTGTGTGTGGCACAGCCTGCCATGCCTAAACTCCAAAAAGCAGAGAGAGTCCGGTCACCTACTGGCTCTTCCCTTTGTGTGTTCTAGACCCACTGCCCTGCTCTGGAGGCCCTGATACCACCTTCCAGATCTGAGTTAACCTTGCTCCTAGTGTCCTTGCTACTGAAAGTGAAGTCCACAGACCAGCAGTATTGACTGGAAGCTTATTGGAAAGCAAAAATCCAG